GCTCCCCTCAGCGTTGCTTTGCTAGAAGGAGTGTGGGGTGGAAATGGGAGGGAGAGAAGAGTTTGCCTGTGAACGTGAGCAGCAGCAGGGGTAGCATGTCTTGTGTTAACCAGCCTCTCCCCAGACTGGATACTCCTGTGGTAAAGGAGCCTGTGGAGATGCCATCTGTTGAGATGAAGTGCTCCTCCCTGATTTCAGATGGGTTTCTCTGCCTTGACAGGTGAATCCAGGGCCTTTGTCGCCCTTTGGAAGGGGAGAGCCGGCTCACTGACATGTGCTTGTGTGCGTTGTCACAGAGAGCTGTGGAAAGGCAGTCCCCAAGGAGAGCAGCCGGTGTGCCTTAACGTAAGCAGTTGGTTGCCACCTTTAAGCCCATCACCTTGGACTGACTAGTCTGGTTCTTTCTCTTTCGTGCCTCTGAGGCCTCCCCAGGGAAGCAGAGCTCCTGCTGACTCAGTAATGCAACAAAAGGACTCTGTAATTGCTGTAGTGCCTAGAGAGTAGTGCTCCTTGGATGTCTCTTGTTGTGCCTACCTGTTTTCTTCTGCATGTTAGGGTATATGTACCAAAAAAACCCCTTGGCTATCCTGTAGTAGATTTCAACAGATACTGATTTGACAGCTTCTTTCATTTTGGAGTGTTTAAAAACGGGTTTCAGTAGATACTGTCAAGACTAATCTACAGTTTCCAGCTGCTCTGGAACAGAGCAGCCTGTTGTGACTGCCTTTGGGTGTTGATGAAATATGTCATGAAGTTCATATTAATACAAGTGTTATCAAACTATTAAGCATGGACTATAGAAGATGATGTGTGATATATCTTAAATACAAGGTGAAGATGTAGAAGTGTTTCTACCCAAGTTTTGGGTTTTTTTTTTTTATTATTTTTTAATGAGCCTGAGAACCCGAGGCTTTTCAGTGGGTCTGTGAATCCCCTTAGGTTGTACTTAAGCTACGTCAATGGCTGCTTCATCTATGTTTCAGGTATCTGTGGAGTTGTGGATTTTTTTGTTTGTTTGTTTCTTTGTAAACTGTGTAGTTGAGTAAAATGGGACTTGGTTCATCGTGTGCTACAGAATGGCTTGTAATTAGTGTAGCATGTCTTGCTGGTTGGGCCCCAGTGAATGATCTATAAAACTTGATACAACTGATAGTAGGCAGGCTATATTGTATAGCATCTAAGAGCATGTGTTTAGGACCCTGAAGTATTTGTGTAAAGTGCTTTAGTATTTGGTGGCTTTGCTGTTTCTCACGTTGCTTGGGGGTAAAGTGGTGGGCATCTCTCTGGAGAGCAGAGGCAGACTAAGGTCTCGTGAGGCCGCCTTGTGCGGGTTATGTCTGGGGTGTGTCTGCACCACCTTCGTGAGAAATGCCGTTCCTATGGCATGTGTCAGTAGATAGGTACATTTTTCTCACCTCTCTTTCCTAATGTTGATCCTTAGCTCTAGTCCTTTATTGGAGGTTTGGCAGTTGACCAGACAATGGCAGCTCCTGCCTTCCCCAGTATATAATTTGAGGCTGACTGCCCATCTCGCAGTAAATCAGCGTCGCTGTATTGATCAGCCATAAGGCACTACCGGGTGGTGTATCTCCTCTCCTCCCATCCCATGGAGACTGCTGGCAGCAGAAACGCCAGCAGAAATGAGGTGTTTTCTGAGAGTGCTGCTGGTGGTAGGGGACCTCTGCGTCTGCTGAGCTTGGAGCTGGGCTGTTGTCTGCCTAGTTGGGAAGCGCTTGCAAGTTTCTGTTGCTTCACCTGTTTTAAGGTGTGAAGCACATAGAGAGGCCTCCTAGGGACGGTGGGGATATCAGCTGGCCTGGAAATGGGAACGGCACGGCCTGAGGCTATGCGTGGGACATGACACAGTGCATTTTCCTACTGGGATGTTTTCTTTCACAACTGTGAGCCCTGAACATCAAATTCCTGTTGAATGAAGGTGAGTTGATTAAACTGGCATGCATAGAAACTGATACGGTTCTAGCTGGGGCTGCTTCATTACACCTTTTTGATTCAGGGAACCCAACTGGTTTTAGAGGAAGTCAGATTTGATCAGGGCTGTACCTGGTACTGCAGTGTTTGCCTTACCACAGCACCTTCTATACCTTTGCAGGCTTACTACTTGAAGGTGTC